GGACTTCTGACATCAAAGAAATGCCCTCCTTTCCTATGAAGATCCAGATTATGCTTTTCATTTAGTCATGCAGATATAACATTTGCTTTTATCAAAAAAAAAAAAAAAAAAAAAAAAAGAAGCTAACCAAGGAACAAAACAGAATTTACAAATAAAACTAATATTGTTGGCTTTTTTACAGAATGACTGTTTCCTTTCCAACTTAATATTCTTATTAAATTTTTTAAAACCCTAGCCCAGCTGGTGTGGCTCAGTGGATTGAGTGCCATCCCATGCACCAAGAAGTCATTGGCTGGATTCCTGGTCAGGGCTGATGCCCGAGTTGCGGGCTCCATCCCCAGTAGGGGGCGTGCAGGAGACAGCCAATCAATGATTCTCTCTCATCACTGATGTTTCTCTCTCTCTCCCTCTCCCTTCCTCTCTGAAAACAATAAAAACATATTTAAAAAAATAATAAAGAAAGAATCCTGTCTGTCCTTCTCTTCCATGTGGAATCTCAATAAAAAACGCAAAACAGAAACAGAGTCAGAGAAACAGAGGCCAAAGGGATGGTCACCAGAAGGGAGCGGGCGGAGGGTGGGTGGGAAGGAGAAGGAGATACAGTCAATCCTACAGTGATGAGTTCGCGCGCCGGCAGACAAGGACTCGAATCAGTGGGTGGTCACACTGTGGCCTCAAAGTACTGACTCACTCTAATGTACACCTGAAACTAATATCCGATTGTATACCAACTACACTTACATCACATGATCAGTTTTAAAGAGAAGAAAGAGTCCTGCCCGAGGCTGCACTCCCCACTCCTACACTTTAGAAATATGTGTGCGCACAAACAAAAAGGAAGGAAAGGGGGAGAAAGATATCGAATGGGTGCAGCGAGGTGCGAGGACTTGTCTGAACCACACTGACTAGCTCTCTGAAGCAGGACATGAAAGTGAACATCCAAGGAAAAAAACAATCCTCAATCCCCTGAGAGCTCACCTTTTAAGAATCGACTCTGCTTGTTTTTCAGAAATAGTTAACCCTAATATCTGGAGAGAATGGACAATTTCAGAAGCCTCGATTTTTCCTTTAAAAGAAATAAAAACAGCATAAACTCAGCGTCAGAACTGTAAGGACCTTAGAAATCATGAATTGCAAATCCCTCGTTGTATCAGGGAAAGCCTGGAATGGATGAAGGTAAAATTATGAGTTTAGGGGAGGGTTGGATTTGCTTAAGTACATAGTGCAATATCAACTCAAAAACTAATAAATACATTAAACAAGTATGCACGTTATTTCACTCTTACTTTTTGCTTGGCACATATGGGACTCTCACTTCAAGCTATTAATCTAAATAGAGAAACCAAAATTCCAGTCAGAAGACACACATTTCAATGTCTAATCTGCTTTTTTTCCCCTAATTTTCAAAATCAGAAAGTATCTGCTCTAAATGAATTCTTTCAAAAGGACTGTCAAATGTAACATAATCGACAAGTTTTTAAAATTTAGATTATGTCATTTTTATGCCTAAATATGAAAAAAAAAATACTAGTTAACCTCTCTTGCCCAAAGAACAAGGAAATATAATTATTTTTAACCCAAAGCTTTAAGTCAAATCAGCATATTGTTCCATAGTTAACATTTTACAAACAGCCCCAACTTACAGTTTCTTAACTCATTGGACAAATAACTTTTCTTAACGAAAAACATGAATTCTATGTAAAAATCACATTACTAAGAAAAACAAGTATTAACACTAGTAATAATTAAAACCCCAGTCAGGTGGCTCAGCTGGTTGGAGCATCGTCCCATACAACAGAAGGGTTCAATTCCTGGCCAGGTCACATACCTAGGTTACAGGTTCAATTCCTGGTCAGGTCACATACCTAGGTTACAGGTTCATCCCCAGTAGGGGTGCATATGGGAGGCAACTGATATCTCTCTCTCTCTCTCTCTCTCTCTCTCTCTCAAATCAATAAAAACTACCCTCAGGTGAGGATTAAAAATAATAGTTACTATTATCACCTAAGGGAAAAAAGGCTAAATACACATTGTTTTAGACTCTTGGAAGTATAAGTGCTTCCTCATATCACAGTGATGGCAAACCTTTTGAGCTCAGCGTGTCAGCATTTTGAAAACCCTAACTTAACTCTGGTACTGTGTCACATATAGAAATTTTTTTATATTAGCAACCA